ATATATATATATATATATTATATATATATATATATATATATATATATATATTATATATATATATATATATATACTATATATATATATATATATATATATATATATATATATATATATATATTATATAACTTATATTTATAAATAAAACGGTATTTTTATATTTTTATATTGTAAAATTATTAGAAAATGATGAATGAGAGAGAGAAAATATTTTTGATAAAAATAAATAATATTTTAATATTTTAAATAAATTGTATATGGATAAAAAATTGTTTCATGGTTTAAAGTGAGAAAAATACCTTAATTTGTATTTTGTCCGTAATTATATATTTTTGTCCAATCCCGCAATTTTTTAAAAATCAAATACAGAATATTAGAATTGTGTTCTTCAGTCCCTAATTTATTTTAGTAATACAAACACGTTTTAGTAGATCAAATGCACCTTGTAACAAGTAATACCAAGCATGTTTAAATTGATTTTGTAAAATAGAATGCATTTAATACAAAATTTAATAATTGATCTTGGTGTAAACATCTCAACCAAAATCCCTATAAAAGTGTGGTAAGTGATTACCTCATATTTATCTAATGACATATAGTCAAATTTATCGCCTCTAGAAGAGTCTTAAAAATGAATGTGACAATTGAATGTATACCTATAACTTGGAAAGTGACATGGATGGTGTGCATAAATTGTGTAGAGGGAAACAATAGCACATAAACACTTTATAACAATGGCGCGTATTATTTATTATATATAGAAAAAATAGAGGAAACGAAAATCTAAAACAAGATAATGGGAAGCCAAGATGTGAAGTTGGTTCGCTTTTGGGTGAGTCCATATTCTAAAAGGGTTGAATGGGCTCTAAAACTGAAAGGTGTTGATTATGAGTATATAGAAGAAGACATCTTCAACAAAAGCAATCTACTTCTGGAATTGAACCCGGTTCATAAGAAAGTTCCGGTTCTTATTCATGGCAAGAAATCCATAGCAGAGTCATTGATTATTCTTGAATACATTGATGAAACATGGAAGCAATATCCATTGATGCCTCTCCATCCTTATGAAAGATCTCGTGCTCGATTTTGGGCTGATTTTGGTGAACAAAAGGTAGTATTAGTATATATGTACTAAGTCCCTTTTCTTTATCCATATAAAAATGTCAGTTAATAACTTATTATTTTCAATAGCTTTTGCATACAGCATTTGTTGCAATGTGTAGCAGTGGGGAAGGTAAGGACAAGGCTGTGAAACTTGCAAGAGAAGCAATAGAGAAGATAGAAGAGGAGATTAAAGGGAAGAAATTCTTTGGAGGAGACAATATCGGGTACCTTGATCTTGCTCTTGGATGGATTTCTTACTGGCTCCCTGTGTTTGAGGAAGTTGGGTCTATGAAGATAATAGACCCATTGATATGTTCAACCATTACTGCATGGATGCCCAATTTTCTCAGCCATCCTGTGATAAAGGAGAACTTAACTCCAAGAGACAATATGCTTGTTTACTTCCACTCTCGTAGAAAGACACTGTTGGGGGCATTTCATGTTTGATTCAAGGTTGAGATATGATTCACAAATATATTTATATTATAATTTAGCTTTAAATATAGAGCAATGAATAAAATTTGGCAAATTCTTATGTTATTCTATTCTCGTTTTCCTTATATTTGTTCTTTGATTTAACAACATTATTAGATATTAGAAAATACTATTTTTTACACTCTATCATAACTTTTAGAATTTCTTTAACAATAATCATGTTTTAGAAAAAATTATAATGGAGTAGTCATCTTAGATGGTACATGCATTGATTTTTTTAAAGGACGTGCCTAGTCATCTCCTAATTTTTTTTAATTTTTTTTTATTTATCTATGGATTTTTCTGTAGATTTAACGTTTCCTGCGAATTTACTTACGGATTTATATGCGGACTATATTCCCGCAAGTAATTTCATAAGAAAATCCGCAAGTAAGTCTGCAGGCAACCTCCTCTGTAAGAAAATCCACAAATGACTGAAAAAGTTCGAAAAATATATAGGAGGCGTCAATTCAAGTAGCGCTTCCTCTTTGAAATTCTGGTATCAGATATGTGATGTCGAAGGAGATGTCACGACACAAATATCTGAGGACAATATAAAATGCAACAATATTAAAAGCAGTAAAAACACAAGGGATTGTTAACCCAGTTCGGTGTACAACAACACCTACTCTAGGGGCTACCAAGATAGGGACAAGTCCATTAAATAACATCAATTCATAGACTCTCAGTAAATAATCAATTTACGATCTAATCACTTAATCACTATCCGTGTTATACTTCTACCTAAGACACACATAGGTATGAGGTCCTCCTCAAATCCCTTCAATCACTAACAGTGAAAAACAACATATTTATCAAGTTTGAAAAACCTCAATCATTCAATGCTTAAAAGTTTATGAATGATCCATAACTTACAACTCAAATTACAACTCAAGTATTGAAACAATACTAGAGTGTATTACAATTAAAAGATTCAGACTTCTAAAACACATAGTATATTTTTCTTCAATTGTTGCAGTAGTACGAATAAGGACGCAAGTCCTTATAAAGGCGCAACAACTTCTTTATGGGCTTGGGCTGAAAAACCAATATTGCAATATATTGAATCCCTTAAAATTTTCCATGAAAGTAGGCCAAGATATAAACCATAAAGATCAGACAGATCGAAAAATATTCCTCCATATTTTTCGCAAGTTATAACCCACAAATCCTGAATAAGGCGCGCTTAAAAACAGGAAACAGAAAATCTGAAAACACGTTCAGATCAGCAGGAAGATGTTAAGACGTCTGCTTTGGCATCATTTAAAATCAGTTGAGTTGTTTTACTTCAAATGTCAAGACATTAAGCAAAACATTACCAAGGAAGAGTTTTACCAAAGTTGCTGCCAACAAACACTTACAAACTCCCCCTTTGGCAAATTTTGGCTAAAACAATATTTGAGCACATTATTAGAGCAGCAGCAGAAAAAACTCAGTTAGCAGAAACTCAATTAGCAGTTAGCAGTGGAAGATGTCAGGACATCTTCTGAGACATGAAGCTCCCCCTCAAACAATGAAGCTCTCCCTCAAACTTAGCAGTCAGTCAGTTAGTTTCTCTCCCCCTTTTTAGATATAATATGCCAAATAAACACGTATTCAAGAGAGCAGTAGTAAAAGAAGTACATACCGGAATATCCAAGTATCAAGCACATACAAGTGCCAAAAATAACATATGGATCAAAATACAAAAGAAAACAAAAAGTAAGGCACCGGCACAAAGTCTAATTGTCTTTAGGATCAGTAGACTTGGCAACTTCAGAGCTTCCTTCATTATCAGAATCTTCTCCTTCAGTACCCACTTTATCATCAAGACTGTTATCCTTCTGCAGCTTCTTGATCAGCTTTTCAAATTTTAGCTTTCTTGCTGAGCTAACTCTGATTACCTTATCAAGCTCTTTGCAAGCTTCCATTAACTCAGTAATCATATCATCCTTGCTTGAGGTCTTGTTTTTAGAGGATGCAGATGTCAAAATAATGTTTGGGATATGTTTACCTGAAAACAACTTGAAGTGAAGGGACAGGGAAGACTCCCTTTTGCAAACTACATCAATGCCACACAGAATTCCAGGATGTTGATTTATAATAATTCCACAAATAAGAGATGGAAAGGCAATAGGCATCTTGATAGCACAGGTTCCTGCATGCTTTACAGTCTATTCAAAAATGTGAGCACCATAATCAAATAATTTCTTATTTCCAACAACATAGATAAATTTTCCTAAAATAAATGTAATGGTTGAGGTATGATTGGTAGGGACCCAATTAACAACTCCAATTCTATGCAGGATAGAATATTTGACACTTAATTTACTAACAAGGAGCTTATTCTTCAAGGGTCAATCACTCACTTGGTTTGCAGTGATGGCTTTGCACACCCGATTATCAGTCACTTCCAACTCACAGTAATCATCTTCAGACCTACCCATATATCTATTGATGACACCAGGGGAAAATTCAACATATCTACCTCTAACAAACACCTTCCTATATTCCTTACTTCTGTGATCAACACAATCTATAGGAAAATTAACAATAAATTCATTAACAAGAGTATCATAACATTTTGCAAACCTGGTGACAGTCTTCATCAAGCCAGCAAGAGAAATCATCTCCATAATCTCTTTGTATTCCAGTGCATCTGCTCCTAACTCTCTTTCAAGATCAATCCTTCTTTGGAAGACATATTTCTATTTTTCATCATCGCCAATAAAATGGAAGAATATGTTGTCAATGGGAGCACCAGGTACCCTGACAGAAATCTTCTTGCTTGCAGTCTTCTTCATAGGAGAGATGTCCTGGACATCATCCTCATCATCATCTGAGGAGCTATCAGGTCTAACTTTTCTTTTGTTGAAGGGAGGAACCACTTTACTCCAGGGCTTTGGAGTATCATACATAGTCATCTTTTTGATACTCTTGGCAGGGGTGTGACATCCACAACCTTCACCTTTCTAGACTTGAGCCTTTTAGCAATTTCAGGCACCACATTGGAAATAAGGTCATTGTCAGACAACTCATCAACATTCACCACATTATTAACATTTGGGTTCTTTGCAGTTTTGGATCCAGCACCATCTTTCTTAGCAGAAGAGTCATTCTCAGCAGATGATGTCTCAACATCTTGTTCAACATCAACTTCCACTTCTTCTAGAACAGATGTAGCAAACTTGCCAAATTCACTTTCAGCAACATCTTTCTTTAAGGTAGATGATTCAGTAGCATTTTGAGGACCAGAACCTTTGTCATCCTGAGCACCATATCTACCAGCCTTCTAATACTCCTATCAACATTAACAATGTCTTCTTCTGACCTATCATTAGTAGTATTAGGAGCATTACCTTTATAAGTGTCAAACCCGTCTTTGGATTTCTTTGCGTGTGATGATCTAGGTTTCTTGACCTTCTTCTCAAGAGGTGGAATAGTTGTCAGAGGAGCGACGACCAAGACTTTATCAAGGGAGAGATCCTCAGGATGGTTGACAGACTTTGACCTAGAACCCTTGGCTTTATCAGAAGAACACTTTGAGGGAGACGAAGCATGATGTTGCGACATCTTTGAATATTTTTTAACAGTGAGATGGGAAATAGCAAGGGTTCTTTTTCTGTAAAGGAAAACGAAGAGGTTGTGAAAATAGAATGAGGTAATGTTGTAGTGTGTGGGAGAGTATTTGAGATAATCTTGAAATGATTGCTTAAGATATTTGATTTTTTTGAAACATAATACATGATATAATATCACTTTAATGATATTCCCACACGCCCTTAATTGCTACAAACCCTCATATATGCAGATCCCTAGTTTTTCTCTTAATTTCTCAAATAGGTTTGCATCCAAAGCCTTAGTGAAAATTCCAGCCAGTTGTAATTCAGTAGCTACATGTTCTAAGGTAACAATCTTTTCTTCAACAACCTCTCTTATGAAGTGATGACATATATCAATGTGTTTGGTCCTGCTGTGTTGAATAGGATTTTTTGATATATTTATGGAACTTAGATTGTCACAGAATAATGTCTTGACATCCTGTTTGACATTATATTCTGTCAACATTTGTTTTATCCAAACCAATTGAGAACAACTGCTTCCTGCAGCAATATACTCAGCCTTAACAGTGGACAGAGACACACAATTTTTCTTCTTGCTGAACCAAGATATGAGATTATTTCCCAGAAAGAAACATCCTCCTGATGTACTTTTTCTATCATCAGCACTTCCTGCCCAATCAACATCACAATACCTAATTAAAGCAGAGCTAGATCCATGAGAATATAGCATACCATAGTCACTTGTCCCATTCACATATTTAAGAATTCTCTTCACATGGTTGGCATGGCTAACTTTAGGATCAACTTGATATTTAGCACACACCCCTACAACAAAGGAAATGTCAGGTCTAATAGTTGTGAAATATAGAAGACTGCCTATCATAGTTCTCTAAAGACTTTGATCCACACTTACTCCTTTTTCATCTTTAGACAACTTCAGATGTGTGGGAGAAGGTGTTTTTTTGTGACTGCCATTTTCCATCCCAAATTTCTTTACTATATTCTTTGCATATTTTCTCTGAGATGAGAATATGGAATCTTCCATTTGTTTAACTTGCAGACCAAGAAAGTAGGTTAACTCACCAACAAGGCTCATCTCAAATTTTGATTGCATTTGCTTGACAAAATGTTGAACCATCTCATTTGACATCCCACCAAACACAATATCATCAACATAAATATGTGCAATCATGATCTTCCCTTCTTCTTCCTTGACAAATAGAGTTTTTTATATGTCGCCTTTCCTATATCCATTCTCACCAAGAAATTCTGTCAATCTCTCATACCAAGCTCTTGGAGAATGCTTTAATCCATACAGAGCTTTCTTTAGTTTGTACACATGGTTAGGAAAGATTGGATTAACAAATCCCTTAGGTTGTTCCATATAAACTTCCTCATTCAGATAACCATTTAAGAAGTCACTCTTTACAT